CGTCTTTTCTTGCCGGTGAGTAGATAGATGTTGCTGGTGGGCAGCGCCCCGTGTAGTAGGTCGGGGGAGACTTACGGTGCGTTGAGCTGTTGCGGGACTGAGGGCGTGGTGGGGTACGCCGGAGGTCGGACCCGAGGAGGCGCTGCTGCCCACGTCCGCCCGCACCCGCAGGAGGGGGGCGGGAGCGGAAGAAGCAGGAGTCGTCGGCGTTTTAGCAGCAGGGGTCAACAGAGACAGCTGCGACGGCTGGAGTGGGTTGAGCAGGATGATGCGGCGGCGGATGTTTTTGCGCCTTGCCAGCGTCGAGGCTGGTGGGTGATGTTGTTGGTTGCTGTGTGCGCGCTGGCTTGAGGCTTGAAGCTATCCTTCTCGGGCCTCTCCCATCCTGCAGCTTGCCGAGGTCTGGTGACGTCTCTCTCCCTCCCCCCCTCTCTGGTGCAATGGGCGCCCACACACACCACAGTCTTCAGCTCACACGCACTGCGTCGATACCTCTGCACACACACCATTCTCGCAGCTCGCACAGCGTCGATATCTCTGGCACACTATGTTCCTCTCGGAGTATAATAATAATAGTACAGTGGGATACAACATTTCTCCCAAGTTGGTTACTACTGTATCCCCGCCTAATATACCAGCCAATAGCCCAATGTCCACGCTCGCCTGCCCACGACCAACAAACGACAGCAAGCGTCCACGACAAGTACTAGATCGGGCGCGTCCAGTTCGTGGACCCCGTGCTCGCTTCTCAGTGCTCGCAACACGGAGACTAATGTGTTGATGTCAGTTACAATTGTGCCGCATTTTTATCCACACTCGCCCAGAGAGGGAGAATGAACTTCAATAATTCTCTCAAACTAGGAGTGGGCTCGGCGTTTGTAAGTAAGTGGTATGCAGATAAATATCCCAGTACGCGAACGAGATGTTTGATCGACTCTTGGAATCTTGATCTCTCCTCGTGTTCTACTGCTGTGTAGGAGTATCATACGCATGAGAGCTCTGCAGTTGGTCTCACTGGTTGAAGTCTGGCACGCCTCTGGTATATTTTTACTCTTTGCCGCTCGACACCGAATGCGATCCCACCTGTGAAACAACTGAACACCACGTCTGACGACACTTTCCAAAACCGTATACAACGGCATGCATTGAAATGCAAGGCGCGTCGCTACTACTGCTGTAAGCTCACAGATCCCTCGGGTGGGGGGTGATATTAGGCGTCATCTGACCTGCCCGCCCCCTACCCTCACCCGCCGGCAGAAAACTACAGCAGTGCTCTGCAACCGCATCTATAGTCCCAGCAGCCTGGGTCGTCATGAGACTGCTTATCCTCATGCATCGCTAACTTCAAGTGAAACACCGGATACCTGTGGTTGAAGATCGCCTGTGACGGCAGCAGCGCAGCCCTTGTCGGGGGCTGCCCCAGTGGCAGCACTGCACGATGACGCTGTTGCCGAGGACAGCGATCTACCTCTCGCGAAGGATGCGACTGAGACCCAAGCAGGTAAAACATTGGCTCGGAACGCCCTGCTTGATGCCACCAGCATCGCTGCCGGCACAGCAGATCGAGGAAACAACATGCTACACCGGCCCTGGGCCGCCAGAGTGTCTCCCACGATGAACTCTCCGTCAGAAAAAAAAAAAAAAGGCGAGAACGAAAAAAATGTCGACGGTTTCACTTTTCGACGGCGGGAGGCAAGAAGCGGAGGGAGCGAGAGGACGATATTCGCGTGCACGCGCGTATCGTACCACGGACTCTCAGAGAATAACCAGGGAACGCAGTTCGCGCCCGACCGATCGCAAGTAGGGCTCTGCAGGGGGATGTTTTGAGGTGCTTGCACGACGAGGAAGTCATCTTGGTCGTGTATCAGATTCATACAGAGTCCGTCTTTTGTTCCCGACCATCACTGCGGGGGGACCGTGTGTGCGCCGATGGTCAACTTGCATGATCTGGCCAGTAAGGGAGACTTGGAGGGAGTCCGCAAGTTCCTGGCACGTTCAGCCGCGAAAATAAACAATACGGACAAGGCAGGACAAACGCCTCTCCATATTGCAGCAAAAGGGTGAGCTCAAATATTCACGTGCTGCTGATATACACCGAAGGTGTGTACGGTATCTGACGCCTGAATAAATACTGTAAGACGAATGTACACACACTTTGATTTTAATTGCTGGAACTGACGTGCTTTCATCGGCCGGCCGGTTAGCGTTGTTGGAACTGATTGATACATTGTATATCATACACAGATAATGGCTTTAAGCGTTTTTGGTTGTTTTCAACGCATGGACTGACGTCGCTGCGGTACAAGCACCTTTGGACGAACTCAGCGCATTAGCATTGCACTCGATTATTAAACCACAAGTGCCCTTCCACATCAAAATCGAGCAACCAGCGAAGGGTGACTTGTAAAGATTAGTCGACATATTCGACACCTCCTCTACATACATATGTAGGCATCTCTCACCTCCGCAGAGAAGCGGCCAATTCAGGCCTCTGCTGTGTGAGTAAGACGAGAGCACCGACGAGGACGACTTGCAATCGGCCAGACTTCTCTAGAGATCTGCTGCATCAGCGGCTGAAACAGATAAACCACTTAACAGAGTATTCCTCAATGTCATACTTGACCCCACAGTTGTCAACCGCCACTTTTATGTCACCGTACGCCCTCAATTGCCTCTCTCGTCTCAACCAACGGAAAAGCGTTCGCGACCCACGGTCACCTAGGACAATTCCTCGCGACACGTGCCTTAATTTGCCAACGTGGCAAGGGTTCATCTGTTCCCTCGCTCAAACAGCGCGCGGAACTTTCTACTGAGTTCGATATACCGCTTGGATTCTTCGATAGCCCATTCCTTGAAGGCATTTCCTGACTAGAAACAAAAGTCGACAGCCTACAGTAGGACCCTTCCTTGAAGTTCGACCATGTCTATTCGCCCAAGCCGCTTTTCCCCTCAAAATGCTTCTTTCCTCCTTCAATTGATGGGACGTCGGCAACAAACTGCACGTGGTGTACGAACCCCCTATTTCAGAGGTCATGTTGAGGTCTGTCGGGAACTACTTGCGTCCGTCGCGAGCGTGGACATCGAGGACACCAAGCACACCACACCTCTACTGCTCGCTGTAGAGAACAACAGAGCCAAGGTGGCGCAAGTTTTATGCGAAGCAGGTGCATCGACCAGCGCCGGCCTGCAAACTTCAGGTACGTTTGGAGCAGTTACTTCCTCGGGAAGTTGTCGATCTGCGCTCTGGCGTGGGATAGAACGACAGATCCACGTGCGTGCTGTTGCGCACCGGTACATGGTAACGTGGAAGACATAAGCGTCGACCGCGTTTGGGCATATGAGGCCAAGGCGGGAAAAATCATCCTGTGGAATTTGACCATTCCCGCGCATCTCATTCATTCCTGCTTCGAAACAAATTCTCTCCATACATCATGAACCCTCGTGGGACTAGTCTAGACTAAAGCTTTCGCCGGGCATGCAGGGTGAACCCTAACCCGACCTCCGATCGCAGCCGTTCTTGAGCATCCTTGCTGGCTCACACAACCCTGACGCTAACTCCAGCCTTGGCCGCGACCCGGGGACCCAGCGACCTTGTGACACGAAGACACCATATTGGTTGTGGTGCACGTTTGGTGTAGCGGTTCTGTCTCCGAAAATAATTGCACATACACGCACCCGGCGTGCCTCCCGTTTCTCACCAGACGGTCGGTCACCACTGCACATCGCGGCGAACAAAGGATTCGTCGAGTGTGCAGAAGTCCTGCTGCAGCACGGCGCACCGATTGACACGAGTCGTAACAGGTGAGTGGGCGTTGCTCTGTGAGGACGCTGCCGACGAGATCTTTCTCACACGCCAGCTACTGGGTAACCTCCGCAGCTGCACAGACAGACAAGTCTGCACTATCTGGATGGGTATCGTAGATAGATACGGCGTACAGCAGTTGTATCTTGTCTTCTGCCAGCTTGTGGTACACGACATCGGATTACACCACGTCGCAAGCACCAAGCTGAACTTGCCCTCTGTGCTCTCACCCCTGCACCGGACACGTAGCCTAACCCCCCTCCCCGCCCCCCACCGACATCCAACGCCACGCTCGGTGACATGTTGCCTACAAAAGTTCAGAATTTACGAACATAGTCCCATGCAAAAAATGTTCACACGATAACGCGTGTACACTACATCGCTTTCTCAGCGTACCATCTATCTATATGTATGTAGAAGCCGAAATCATACCATTAGGCTAGTCAGCTCTGACTGTTGTCTAAGGGTTTGACTTCGGCTTCAATACGTCCCACTTGCATCAGACACCACCGACAACGCTGGGAAATCGTGATGCTCCATTCGGAAAAATTATACATCTACCGTTGATGACGACGGGATCGTTTTCGGCCGGGCGCCAGGTGGGGTAACCTCCCCGAGGAGGACTGCGTGGTGTCCGAAATACGTACACTGATCGCGGCGGCGCGCCAAGAGCGCGATGCCGCCGGTCCCGTTGCCGGTGTTGCTGGCAGCTCTCCGTACAACCCGTACGCGGCGTCGGCGCCACCGCCGATGGAAGAGCGGAAGGAGGGAGTCGGCTTTCCTCCGGGTTGTTCTTCGCCACAGGCTCCGCCGTCGTGTGAGTGAGTGTGGATCTGCACAAGGGGGGGCACCACCGGTGGTGGAACTAACAACGTGTTCTTTGACTGGATCAGTAGCGGTGTCTCTCCGGACAACAGAGGTTGGTGTTGTGCGCTTGGACCAGCTAGAACTCGTTTTTTGTTCCCAGCCGATGGTATGACCGTTGTGCTCGCCTTGCAGCGAGCGTTGGTTCGGTATTGCTTGGTAGAGAAACTATCAGAGGATGCTCACAAGAATACAACTAAGTGGTACGAATTACTGCTTCATGAAGGAACGTCGTGTTTTTCAGTTCTTAAGCGACAGTATCTGCACGCGCTCGACCGTTTTCCCGCTGGATGAATGTTGAACGCGCGTGCCGGGTACATAGACCACGAGTCTATCAGCCCTAGCCAGAGCACAGGCGCGGAGGGAAATATGTAGTGGAGAGGGACGACAGGAAAGCCCTGCCCCCCCTCGTCGTAAGCACGCAAGGCCACCAGCATGGGAGGGGATTACTGGGTCGGGTGCTATGTGCCGGAGCGGTAGAGGCGGCTCACGCCGTACCACCACGCGTCGTGTGTGGCGCTTGCCCCCGCCGAGCTATGTAGATAGACGATATGTTCGCAATGTTTGTCGCCGCGAAGTACATGACGCCAAAACCACAAGTATGTTTTATGTGAGCACTATTAATAGAAACAGATTCCCCGCCCACTCGCCACCCTTCACATGTCCCTACTACGATTCCGGCTGCGACTGCGCCAACTTCAACGGTCGATCGTTAGTGCAGCTTTTCGCTCAGCCCTCCTCGGTAGTACGTACGTACTTGTTGGTTGAGTATGGTTCAGTCTAAACTATATGTAGTCGCGGCCGAGTTTAGATACTCTTGCCGGCTACGCTCTTTGCACTCCTTGTTTGCATACTATGCGTTGTAGAGTGATGAGAGATTTCTTACCTCTGTCACACCGGTCTTCTTCTTCTCCTTGGAGACGGAGAGGCGGACGGACGGACGGACGGACGTGCATTCGTTCCGGGAACGAGGGCCGCGGGGACAGTGTTGTTGTTGTAACTGCTGTTGTATATGTTGAGATAGTGAGGGCAACGTTTTTCCATCTCGGCCAACTTGCAGGCGCGGGCAACGGTCGTGCGTTGCGTTTCGGTGTTGGCGAGACACGTGCAGCCGCTTCCGCAGATTACCAACAAGATCGACCGGCGCATGTGCATACAACCTTTTTGCCTACTGCCTCTGCTCCGCATGCCACACGACACAACGAATGACGACGACGAGAAGGCCGGACTCGGTTCGTTTGGGCGGCCTTTGAAACCCGATTCCTCTACAACAACAATAACTATCGATGCTTCGCTTGGGGTCGGTGGAAACACACTCTCAAGCACTTTTGCTATCCTATCGTTCGGGCATACGACGATCTTCCCGTCGCAGTCGAAAAGGTGCGACATGTACAACGTGCATGCGTCATCTGGGGGAGGTGGTATTCTGCGTTATGCGTGTGCCTTTGAAATGTCCATCTTATACGTTTCTATGGAATAAGATCACAAACCAGAACCTGTACCCTGGAGAAACCTGTTCACCAGTCACCCTCTCTGTCGCTCTACTACTGCTGTCTATCAATTGAATGTGGTGTCGACCCGACGCGTGGCTGGACGCCCAATTTCAAACGAGGGGGGGGGCACACGGACGGACTTTCCGCATTCCCCCCTACCCGTGACAAATTACATTTTCAACCCGTGGGCGGGGGTAGCGGGTAGCATGGTGTTTTTTTTTCGCCGCAGTGCACAGAGAGACAGACGGAGACGCACAAACGCATCGACGCTGCTTGCTGGCACGCCAACAGGCTGTCTGCGCTTGCTCGTGACACTCTGACCTCTGGCGTTGCTAAACTGGGCCCTGTGGGTGTGCGGCGTTCCCAGGGAAACGCTCATCAGGTCCAGCGAGCGACCTTGACGATTTTGAAAAATATTTGAACGAATCAACCCCAGACACACACAAGCGGGACACAAGAGAGACGTTCGTTGGGGGAGAGAGACATGGCGTCGACTTCCGGCGATGCTCCTGTCGGCGCCAAGGCTGCTCGTGGTCGAGGGGGGGCGGGATCTAGGCGAGGGAGCGCTAGCAGCGGCGGTAGTGCTCATCACGATGTCGTGGATCTGTCTACTCTGGATAACAGCAGCGCGGGCTCGGATGGATCTGACGCTGATGGTGCTTCTGGGACGGAGGTGGGGATAAGGAGAGCGAGATAGCATGTCGGTGTACTCGTTCTCGCACGCTGGGGGAGAGCATTGCTTGTGTTTGGCGGCCGGGCTACTGCTTGTGATAAAGGGGAGGTGGTGTTGTTGTCTCTGCCCGTTGTACTTAGTGTCGTGTATATCGGTTTTTGGAATACCCTGAGGAATACTCTTTGTAGGGCCGAATTATGCTTACCCCAGCATTGACTCGCGTAAATAAGGTTAGGCGTGTACCCTTTTGGCTCGTCTGTTTTGGCGCGTGTGTGGCGTTCAAGACGCGGGGTGGCTTGGGGACTCTGGGTGGGAGGAGTAGCTTGCCAGCTGGGTGGCCTTCATTCACTGCCGTGAGGTGGCCACCTTAGGCTGCGTGTCTACAGTAGCTTGGCGCTAGCGAACATGATACCCAACCCCGGTGTATCGCTACGACAACATCGACCTTTACCCCCACCCCACCGCTAAGGGTAAGGTCGCTTCGTTCACCCATCTGTTTTCCTTTTTTTTTTTTAATTCTCCTGGTTTCCGCCCGCCGTGGCTCTGCGAGTTAATTCTCGATGCACACTGCACGTTATTCTGTTGCTTTCCCCCCTGGATTTCAAATTTGCCCCATTGCCAGTCGCGGGATACCGATCGAAAGCAAAGAGAGCGTATGTACCCCCAACGCTGTATCTTCGCCAACGGCTAAGATCCGAGCGCAGCACAGCACGGCACCGCACTACTTGTACTGCTGTAGCGTAGCACCCGCAACCTAGTGTCTGTAGCTGTAGAGGACGACGACGTAAGTTTCGTTTTTGAATTCCGCAATTCGCAACGATACTTCAGCCAGTGTCACGTTCGAGAAGGTGATTCAACCACTGATGGTCAAAACTGCTGTGTTGTAATACACAGCAGTGTACGATTGAGGCACAGGCTTCCTTCCCATTGGCCTATGTACGTAAGACTACTGCCGTAGCCTGTGTTTGCCAACGCCCACACGGATTGTGCTACCGCCAGTTGGAAGTCCAGGCTACGGCAGCAGAAGGCTAGGTCTTTCGTTTCTAGCCGTCCTCTTGCGCGGCGCTGCTAAACGCATTTGATCTACGCACGGGCCTTGTCGTGTTAGGTAGCAGCTCCTTGCGACTAGCCTACCATCGTACTACACAACGCCAACACCAGTGTCCAGGAGGCCTCTACTACTGCTGTAACGTCGATGCCCTTGCGAGGCCCGATCGCTAATGACAACCACTGCTAGTTTGCGTTTTTGTTGTTGTGTGGGCGCGCGAGCCGCTCGCGGGAATCGGTGTGTCGAACAGGTCCTGCTGGTTGCTTCTGGCGCTGTTGCACCGGAATAGATACAAGGCGCGCTTGCGGTTGCAAATGCGTTTCACATTTTGATCCCCGTCTTGGCGAGTGGTAGCAACCCACCGAGCCGCAGCAACTCCGGGCAGATAGCGCACAACCGTAGTGGTGTAAAGCTTCCTTCGCTTCCCATTTGTATCACTGCAAGCGCCCTTGGCCTAGATCCTGACCCCCGCCGCCCCTCTCGCTTGCTGTCCGCGGTTGTTGCTTCCGGTTGTCCGCCGTCCCTGGTTCGTTTTCAGAAGAAAAAAGGCGGCGGAGGTGATACGGGGAAGCACAAGAACGGTGCCGATGATGCTGAGGCAAAGAAACGAGAGCAGAGGGTGAGTGGTGCCCTGCCAGATGGTTGCCAGTAGTAATTATGCTATTCGGTTAGTTTTTGTTGCCACGCTACCGAACTTGTTCGTCTCTGCCGTTGTGTTGTTGCTGCTTCGGTTTTTGGTGCCCGCCCCCGTTGGGAGACCCGGCCTCCTCATCGTGCAGCGATAAGAAGTCGGCACCTATTGTACGACGCGTCTGATTTCGCTGGGTTGTCGAAACGCGGTCGATGAAAATCGCACCCATCGGCGGTGGTGGAACCCATGTCTATCGACACTTTTTCTTTGTCGGAACACGTCGTGCCTTGGCCTTGCGTAGAGTTGGGGATTCGGTTACGATGTGGAAAGTGTGGCGCATTTCGGCGGAAACATAGGCAAGTGCATAGGGCCATTGCCAGACGGCCGAGAGACAGAGCAGGGAGAGATCCCAAGCGGGTGCCGCGGCATGCGCTACGCGTAGAAGCTGCCTCAGTGACCATGATGACTCATTGAAGCGCTTTCTGTTTTGGTTGTTGCACTGAGACTGAAGTATTTTGATCGGCCAGGCGGTCGGTGCGGTCGGTGCTAGGAATCAAGACACACGGAGACGCTTTTCTGTTGTCCAATTCCTGCGCCCCCCCTGTGGGTAGAACGTTTTGACTGGAACGAGTGTTCCCCACTATCATACGACTGCTGTTGTATATACTTTAGTTTCAGTGGTCAGCCGGTTAGCTCGGCCGACACTACCGCAAGAAGCACACCCACCCACCCACCAATTTTGTAATTCCCCCCGACTCCTCTATCTCTACTGATGTCCATTCAGGCAAGGGCGAATGAGCGAAAGAGGGAGAGACGAGCGGAAGTCAGGGCTCAAGCCTTGTGAGTGTGGTATGCACACAGTTGTGGTGGTGCTTAGTTTTTTGCAAAAGTAAGGCGCCTGCCTGTGCCATCGTTGCTGTCACGCGGGCCCGTGTGTAGCAATAGCAACGTGTGTGACGACACGCATCTTGTCTACGGTAAGTTTTGCCCAGCGGCGCCAACAACATCAGCCGGACTTTTGTGTGATGTCGCGGTTGTGTACCTTGGACCTGGAGACTCACCAGGAGACAGTGAGTGCATGGAGAGATAGATAGATAGAGAGAGAGAGAGAGAGAGAGAGAGAGAGAGAGAGAGGAGGGCGACGGCGATTCACGTTCGTTTGTTTCATGTGGGCAACTCCAGCACCAGCAGCATCAGCGATGGCAGTAGAAAGAAACACACACCGGATCAAATGGTGGTGACGCCAAGTACGGCAGCATTTGTGCGGCTTCCTTGTCGAGTGCCATCGGGCGCGTCCAGCGGCTCATCTTCCACCCCCCCGACCCCCCCCGCCGCACCAACTCACACTGCCGCTTACCACCACCGCCACCTCCACCACCACCACAGGGCCAAGGATACTTCCACCAACAACGGCGACAAGACCACGGACAAGCTTCCGCCGCTCCGGGTGGCCATCAACAGCCCCGGGATGGGTTGGCTCCAGCCCGTGAGAACTTCTTCAGCCCAAGGGGGCGGTAGCGGCGGCGGCGGCGGTAAGAAAAAGGCTTCTTCTCCCGCGACGGCGGCGAGAGCGGCGGCAATGGAGGAGACCGCCGACGCCTCCGCAACGGCGGCGGCGGCGGCGGTGGCCGCGTGCTCCCCCAAGTCCAAGGCTCGCATCGAGCGCGTGGCTTCGGCGGCGGACGCTATCGCCGCCAGGGTGTCCTCCGGAGCCATGGGCGGTGGCGGCTCCTTCGGCGGCGGGGGAGCGAATAGCAATGCGGTGAGAGGGGTAGCGGTGTTGTTGCGCCGGCGGTGCTGGCAGATCTGGGTTCGGTTGAGTGCGTGTGTTGGCATCGACCGCGCTATTAGTCGGCTGACTTTATGAAAAGACGTCAGCCTCATTGCGGCTGAAAACGTAAGATGCTTGTGTGTGCCTTCTCCACCTTGCCCTCTAAATTGCTTCGACCGCGATGTAGATATCATTGTAATTTTTGCTAATGCTTTGTGCCTGTTTTGATTGGGCGCACCTCCGTCCCTACCACCAAGGACCGAAAACGCGGGCTAACCCCTTTGTGACCCTGCCCAATCGTTCGGCCTGATACAGACGCATGGCGTTGGCGGTCCTTGGGCCCATGCCGCGGGAGTGAAGAACGTGGCCGGAGGCGGAGGCACTGCGGCTGGCTTTTTCGCGAAAAGCATCACCCCCATGTGCCCGGAGGCTGTGAAGGCGCTGCTCGCGGACCCTGAGAAGTCGAAAACGTTCCTCTCCAACCTGCTGGGGGAGAGTGTCCGAGAGGTACGTGCCGCCGTTTTTTTTTTTTTTTTGGTTGTGTTTCTAAGCCTCTTCCGTTTCGGAAGAAGGGACTACCGTAACACACACCCTAGACCGACTTTCACCGCTCGGTTGCGCCGCAACAAAGAGGCTGCCAAACGCCGAAGAATGGTTTTCTCTGGAGAGACCTATCTCGTCGAGGCCTTTCCTTGCACGTACCGGTCCGTTGTCGACCCCCACTTGGTTGTGGAGAAATCGATCTACGAAACTATGCGCGATCGCCCCCGCACTTTCGCGGTAGCATCATTCCGTAGGTGACGTAAGATAACACACCCCGTGGAACGATTGTCAAAGCTTCAATCGAGCTACGAAAGCACGTCCAGGGGATTTACGATAGCCCCGCACTTTCGCGGTTGACGTTTACCATGGGTGACGTAAGATACCACACCCCCGTGGACGGATTATGTCAAAGCTCGACTACATATCCCCACGGCGAGAAGGATGCAGCAAGGTTGAAACGATACGTCTTCGGAAAGCTCTCGACGAGACGGTACAGAAGGTTGTTGCTGTTGTGTGGCGTAGGCTTTCAAGGCCGACACCCGGCTCTCGGCTGAGGAGACTTTTGTTTCTTGGATTTTTGTGTTTTTTGGGTGCGCCGAAAGCCAGCGAAAAATCAACATCCCGACCCCTTGCTACAAGGGAATGATGGCCCCGCTGGTCGCTCTTCTGAGTCCTGGGAGAGTGAGGTTCATTGGTGCAGACAGCCCCCCCCTCACGTCTACCAGACCCGTCATCTCTAAATATTTTGTAATGCCCGCGTCCGTTTAGGTGGAAAGCGCGAAGCGCAAGCGCGATCAGGTCAACGGGGAGAGGAAGCGGCTCGCGAGAGATCGCTCCAAGGCTCACCAGGCGAGTCGGGCTCCTGGCCCGTTGTTTTAAGAACGGGTCCTGTATCTTGGTTAGGCACGCGTCCGCGTGGCAGAGGGAAAGGATTGGGGTATTTCTCTGCTTGAGAGAGGAACTGATAGCTTTGACTGGAGCGCCGAAGACGAAGAACCCCCTCTTTTGAGGCCCCGGGGGCGGCTGGGGCTCTCAAGAGGATATCAAAAGGCGTACACAGAGGCATCCAGCACGGACTATCTGAAAAGAAAATAACAAAATAACGCTGTGGAAGGATACTGTAAAAATGCCGTGTACGCACCAGAGAAATTTTGGGTTCTGTGAGAGCAGTATGCCCCCCCCCTCCCGGTTTCCGGCCACCTTCTCTCCTTCCCGGATGCGTGTTTGGTCATAGGCAACACAGCCACAGCTTTCCACCCCCCCCCTCCCCCCCGGTGTTTGCCATCGGGGTTTGGGTTTTCGTCGCTTGGCAACGACGTTGTAAAACAAGCCCCCCACTCGGTGTTTGCCATCGGGATTGGGTTTTCGTCGCTTGGCAACGACGTTGTAAAACAAGCCAATTCACTTCGTGAACTCGGCAACCAGGTTACCGTTTTTTTTTTTTACCTCGGTTTTTTTTTTTTGGCGGTAACCATAATGGTGGTCGAGTAGATCATGTTGTGCGGGGTGGAGAAACCTCACTCCGCGCAACGGGGGATGATCGCACCACGTTGTGTTAAAATGGTCAAGCTTCCTCGAGGCAGTTACACAGTGCTTACAACTGTCTCTTGGAAGTGAAGAGCACCAGAAAATAAATTAAGTCATACGTAGCTGTCATCCGTACGCAAGGAAGTAAGCACAAGATGCCGAACACCCTTAGCAGGATGGCAGCTCACCCTTCATGCGACTCGCCAAATACCTCACGGCGCTTCGCGCTTGGTGATGTGAGAGCCTGGTCCGGTGAGAACCCGGCGTGCTCCGTCCCGGCTTTGTAGGGATGCGAGGTCAATGGTCAAACGACTACGGCATGCACGACTATGAGTACCCCCCCC